GATATTGAACTCTCCCAGCCTTTCTGGGTCTCAGCCTTTCTTTCTGTAAAGGGGATTTGTACTGCACTCACGGAGGTGTCATAAGTGGGATGACATGACAGTATGGGATTGATTTTAACAAGTTGGGAGCCTTAATTTTGTGATCTCCTCTGACGGTGATTTTACAGTGATGATATTGAACTCTCCCAGCCTTTCTGGGTCTCAGCCTTTCTTTCTGTAAAGGGGATTTGACATTTACTGCACTCACGGAGGTGTCATAAGTGGGATGACACTTGGGTATGGGATTGATTTTAACAAGTTATTGGATTTTTCTCATTCTCAGAATATCATGTGCAAAGTGTGAGGAAGCACAGCAGGGTGCATATGTGCATGAGTGTGAGTGTGTGTGTTTGGAGCTAAAGGTGGCCAGGGACAGCTGAGCTGCTGTAAGTTTCTTTTCAGTCAAAGTCTTCTGTTACCCAACCTGGGGAGGGACAGCTAAGGCTTTATCTAAGAGATTGGGAAGTGTTCTTTTCAGCTACCAGGTAGATTTTCAACCAGGAAATCCATTTTCTCAGATGTCTGTAATGATTGTAATGTGATGACATGCCTCTATAGGGAGCTAAGAAGGAGTACTAGTGATGAAGTGATCTGGTAAAGGAATGACCTGAGACAAGGATGGTGAACTATGTAAGAAACTAACATAAAAACCTACCAAGGCTATTGGGGAGCTGGTGAGAAGGATTCGATTCTGCAGATGAACATAGACTAGCTCCATAAAGAGTATATTTAACTTGCAATGCCTGTCTTAAGTGTGAGAGAGCAAGTGGTGGCTTTGTGTTATGTTATTGTCATTATTCATGTAACATAACAGAGACAGCATTATCAGATAAATCTAGATTTAAATTGAGATCCAGCTTGAGAAATCTGTTTGACTTTGAGGAAGTGACTTCACCTCTCTGAGTTCAGTATCCCTCTGTAGAAGTGGGGATACCTTCCTTGTGGAGTTTCTGTGAGACTGAAGTAAGATAATGCATGTTTGATCTTATAATTATGCTTGTAGAAGGTAACTAATATCAAGCAAGAAACTATGGATTAGGGTCAGCAGGTGGTGTGATAGTTAAGGCATTAGATTCCCATATGGTTGACCATGGTTTGAGTCCTGGACCTGACAGCTTGCTTTATCGCTTTCTCTCTCTCTCTCTCTTTCTCTCTCTCTCTCCCTCTCTCTCTTGTGGGCACCTGTGCCTTATAGCAAATTAAAAAAATGAAAACTAATAAGTAAAATTAAGTAAGTAATAATTTAAAAATAAACTGTGGATTAAAGAGATGTAGTTCAGGCTTCCATCAGTAATTTTTCAATTATTAGAAAATCCAAATCATAAAGGAGTTTAATTCAGACTCAACATAACAAGGTGAAAAATGATCACTTCTCCAAAACAGAGTCAAGGTCACATTCATAGAGGAATACACATGTCTGAGGTAGAGTTAAGGGTGTATATAGCCATCGGTAGGAAATGACTCCTCATGGTGACAAACTGTGTGTGAGTTCAGTTATGGTGGGAGAAATCCAGCTACATCCTAGGGTATTGCCCATCACCATCTCTTCCATCCACAGAACCAGAGCTATTGGTTTTTAGCCTGAGCCTTTAGAATTTGCAATATACATGAAAAGAATCATCAACTGGACATCCTGGGAAAGGCAGATAGAATCTGGAACACGAAATGAGTTAGGGCTCTAAAGGAAAGCAGATATGGGAAGAGAAGAAAAGGGGAGAGTTAGTACTCCAGGAGAGGACCTTGTATCACTCTCAGAGGGCTCTCTTCCTGTGGCATAGAGTTTCCAGGTTGTATTTCTCTAATCTTTGATGACTTTGGAGTGATTTCCTGAGTCACTTGAAACTTACTAGGGTCCAGTGTAGCATCTGTTCAGGTGGGGGAGTGCCAGTCAGAAACAGTGTGATAAACCTGTTCTCTATACATCCAATGGGCTTTGGGGAGCACCATCATTGTCAGCCTCTGTCCAACATGGAACCTCAATTTGTGTTCACCCACCATGGAACCTCAATGTGTGTTCAACCTCAATTCGTGTTAACCTGGCTGTAGAAATAGTATATAAAAAGTATGACTGATCCACTTTGTGGTCAGATTGAACAGATTACATGAAATAGAGAATGAACTTGCTTAGTTTTCTCCTCTTCCTCCTTTTCCTTCCTCTTCCTCTTTCCTTATCTTTTTCATTCCCTTCTCCTCCTCCTTCTCTTCCTTCCTTTTCTTCTCCTTCTCTTTCTCTGTCACCATCATTTTCAGACTAAGGTGACTTCTCCAATGGCAAAAGGGACACACTGAACTGGGACCATCTTTCTGGATTTCCTTGATATCTAAATTATACTTATTGGAGACATCTGAAATTATCCTTGGTGACTTCAGAATTTCCCATTTTCCATTTTATTGGTACCCATAGACTTGAATTCTTCCTAGAACAGAGTAATGTCAGGCACTTTACTGGTTTCCTGCTGTCTCATCACAGACTTACAATAAAAGAGTTCTCTACATATTCAGAAAATGACTACGTGACTTAAAAGTTGAAGTTAACTATGCCCATGTTTGTTTGCTATTCCCAGCCTGTTTCTCTGAAGTCATCATTAAAATCTTAAAAATGAACGAGGTTTGAGAATGAGTAAGGTGTATAGAATGATGGTTTGGCTCATACCATGGCTGTCTAGGACAATGAAAAAGTCCTGATACAGTATCCATAAAGCAGAAGAATGCAAAGTCATACCTCCTATGGAAAAAGAGTAAAGGGTGCCATTTTGATGCAGAGAAGCTGACTAAGGGCTTCCTAGCTGTAGCCCACAGTCACTCCCCAAAAGTTTGACAACTTGTTCCCATATTTGCAAAGGACTCCCTGAGTAACATTTCTGAGTTGGACCCACCCCAGCAGTCATACACAGGGATTGACCAATTATCTAAGTTTCCCCTTTTTATTTCTATCTTAAGTGACCTATTTCTTTTGTTGCCCAAGTTTGAGAGGACTTTCGGTTGCATGACTTTCTGCACATCCTGTAATTTGAACATTCATAGTGAAAATCTTTGGAATGATTTACTTTCAATTGTTTGTGGCTGCTGACTATTTTTTTCAACTTTTAAACATTTTCCACTTAAAATTTAGTAAGCTAATTGTTTAAGTCCAAAGTAAGAAGAGGGATTCTCCTTCTCTTGCTCCTCTCTTCCCTTCTTCTTTCTTTCCTTCTTCTCTTTCTTCTCCTCTTTGCCTTTCTCCTTTGATCTATGAGTTGACTGTTTAACTTATCATGGAAGTGTGGCATTACATTTTTTTTCCTCTTTGCAAATGCATTTTGAGCAAATCCTATGATAGGAATTGAGAGATCCCATTTAGAAAAGCTTACTAAAACCTTATACTCTTCAAGTTAGTAAATATCGCAAGCACTGTAATTTATAAATGGGATTATAACATTCCAACCTCTATTTGGGCTCTGCTTTCCCAACTCTCAGGGGTAATGAGATGATGAATGAGTTAATATTTGTTCAAAGATTTGAAGAAAAGCAATGTCTTAAATGCTTATGTGCTTTGACCTCAAACTGCACTCCTACAGAATTCCCTTGAAGCAAGAAAAGAGACAGTGGCAAAAATGACACAAAGCAATTTTTCCCCACTCTCCCCAACCTTCAAGACCCAGTGGAGGAAGATGAGCAGAGCCTGTGGGTGACAATGCTTTTTCTTAAGTGATTCTTGTTTGACTTAAGGGGAGGGGTACAACTGACAGATCTCTTCCCAGTGGCCTCCGTGCATTCTGGACTAATCCACTTCACCCCAACACCCAGAGCCTTCCTCATGTCCAGTGTCCAGGATCCTTCACCAGCATTTCTCAGCATGCTGTGCTTCCTCTATGTGTGTACCATAGTGACCCACATGCTCTGTCTTTTGTCCTTCAAAGCCCAGATAAATAACTGGGCAGCTACTCTGCTAAAGTAATTTGACTCCATGCTTAATCACTGCTACCATCTCATGAAAGCTTTTTCAACAGTCATTACAGTAATAAAAACAAATACAAAAGCCAGAACAATAAAAACAGTAATAATAGTGTCACTCATCAAGTCCTGACCATGGGCGGAATTCTGTGCAATATCCAGACGATATCTAATCAATCCTCACAGCAGTCCTGAGTAGGGGTTATTATTATCTTTATTTTACCTACTAGGAATACAGGTCCAGAGAGGTTCATTAACTTGCCCTAAATCACAGAGTTAATAAGAAGCTAAACTGGAATACATGCCATCAAGCCTCAGGCTTTTTAGGCCATAAGCTCAAGATTTGTACATGACCCTGTCATCCCAAAGTCCTTGTATATGCCTTGAAAAGAGAAGGGGGATAAATAAATATTTATTAATTAAATTGAAAGGAATTAGTCTCTCTGTGATTTAAGGAAGTCTCAGTTTCCAGGGCAAGCATTTTGTATTTAACAGATAAGAAAGGGATAAATATTGTTTACATTTTAAGATCTATAGCAGACCAACCTGTGTCTTGGGGGTTACAGTAGCTGAATCTCACATGGCCAACAGTACAGTTTAAATCCTGGACCTGACAGTTTGAGAAACACACTGAGTAAATGAGCATGTGTTCCCAAAATCCCAAAAGGAGGAAGAATGGAGAAAAGATTGCAGTGTGATCATTCCCCAAGGGGTATACTCTCTCGTCTTCCTTATATCTCTTTTTCTGGCAAGCACACATGCCCTCTGGCAAATTAAAAAAGAAAAAAAAAAAAGGAAAAGATCTATGACTGGATCAAGAAAAAGGTAATTGGGAGGCTGAGAGTTTCTCTCTCATCAGCTGAGAATTATTGAGCTATCTTTAACTCCCACCCATTCTGGCCTTTGAAGTCAGATTACATAAACAAGTACCTGATTACATAAAAGGCTATCTCTGTTTGACAAATATCTTAGAAAATCTTAGCAGCACCAACCAAATGATTAAGCATTTACTAAGCACAAAGACTTACTGGGCTTAGGCAGAAACACAGATCCTGTCTTCAAGGAATGCTTAGTCTGATAGAAATAAAGAAGGACATCAGAGAACTTCCCGTGTCTGGTTTCCTTTCAAGCACGCTTGTGGCCACTACACAGGGAAACTCTGGAAGTAAATTCTGAAGGGATTTAGAGCTCCTTGATGATAGTTTTAAGGGATGTGAGTTTCAAGTCCCCGAATGTGAGGCAATTCCAAAGGAATGTGGCACTGTAATTCATCTAGCAGGAAACCCACATAGATGGTTCCTTTTCCTTATGGAGTTAGAAAGTGAGATGGAAAGCTGAAACAGTTACACTGCAAAGCTCAAAGCTGTATTTTTCCAAGCGAAGGCTGACTCACAATACTGACTTGGTTCACGGACATGTCCTGAGAGTCAGTGCATAACAAGCTCCAGCCTCACCATTCTCACCTCAAGGCTGCTCTACCTCCTAGTTGGCTTCTTTAAAGTCAGTTCAGTTCAAAGAACATTTATTGAGAAAGGCCCTGAAACCAAGGTCTGCAAGGATATGGGGAATGTACAGATTAAAAAGATGAGATTTGTCAGCTCTAGTGGTCCTTTATTCCACCCTTTTCCAGGGAAGGCTTCTTAGGAGAAGAAGCCAAAAAGACCTGTTGTTTTACACCTTCCTTCCTTCCTTTCCTTCCTTTTTCTTTTTCTTTCTTTCTTTCTCTTTCTTTCTTTCTTTCTTTCTTTCTTTCTTTCTTTCTTTCTTTCTTTCTTTCTTTCTTCCTTTCTTTCATTTCCTTCCTTCTTTTTTCCTTTCCTCCTTCCTTCCTTCCTTCCTTCCTTTTTTCTTTCCTTCTTTCTTCTTTCTTTCTTTCTTTTTTTTCTTTCTTTCTTTCTTTCTTTCTTTCTTTCTTTCTTTCCTTCTTTCTTTCTTTTTCTTTCTTTCTTTCTTTCTTTCTTTCTTTCTTCCTTTCTTTCTTCCTTTCTTCCATTTCCTTCCTTCTTTTTTCCTTTCTTCCTTCCTTCCTTCCTTCCTTCCGTCTTTCTTTCTCTCTTTCTCTTTCTCTCTGTCTCTTTCTTTCTTTCTTTCTCTCTCTTTTTTCTTTCTTTCTTTCTTTCTTTCTTTCTTTCTTTCTTTCTTTCTTTCTTTCTCTCTCTCTCTTTCTTCTTTCTTCCTTTCTTTCTTCTTTCTTTTTCTTCCTTTTTTTCTTAGTAAAGATTCTGGTCCACTTAGAAATTTATGAAGGGGGGGTGGCAGCAGGTGGTGTGGTGGTTAAGGATGTTGGACTCCCATATGGCTGACCACAGTTTGAGTCCCAGATCTAGCAACTTGCTTTCTCACTTTCCCTTTCTCTCTCGCTCTGTCCTTTTTGGTCAAATAAAAAGAAATGAATAAATAAATAAAGTTAAATAAAATAATTCTAAAAGAAAAAAGAAAGAAAAATATTTACAAAGGATGGCTATTAGGTTGCCTAAACTTGGCTTTGCAGGCACCCTGCCTATCACTCAGAGACTGGATATTGTCTACTCCTTTACTTCTTCCTCAGGTCAGACACAAAATGAACTAAAAGGAAGATCCATACAGGCTTTTTTCTTTGTTAGTTTTAATTGAAAGGTTGAACAGATATCATGGAACAATACAGACTAGATTTGGAATTGTGATTTCATCTGATTAACCCATCTCCTTGCAATTAGGAGGATTGGCATGCATTACTGATCTCTTCCTAGCCTTCTTTTGTGGTTCTGTGTCTCACCATTCTCCACTCTTCTGTCCCATCCAAGAAAGAAATTCTTTATTTTATAAATCCCCAGAATTGAGGTTGAGGTCAAAAGCTAGTTGGTTCTGCCTTAGTTTAGTTGACTCCAAAGTGCTGGTGGAAGAGCTGAAATATCCTGGTGGGGTGAGGAAGGAAGACAGTTTAATTTTCATCACTGAGGTGGAAAATTAGGATTCCTCTAATTTCCTAAGGAATTATAGCAGAGCAATCACACTTCACCACAGTACTCGTTTCCTTTTGAGGTTAATATCAATTAGCTGTGAGGAAGCAGAATCTCTCCTTTTTAAGATGACTTTAATCTTAGTCCTAGGAAATAATGTATCTGGTATTATTTTTCTAATTTTCAGCTTGATCTTTCGTGCACACATAAGGAGAAACCCATTATCTGAGAATGGTCTTCGTGGCTATTTAAACCAATGGCATCAGATTTATATAGATATTTTGACAATCCTATACCTTAGACAGTTTACGTTGGAGGCTGTAGTAACTCTATTCATCCTAGCACTGTCCAATAGAATGTTTTCAGTGCACATAAGATATGGAGAGGTGAAGTAAAGAGAGATTCTGACATGGCAGTTAGGAAAGTTTCCTGAGTCTTTGAGGGCCACACTAGACCTGAAGAACCTTACTGAAGAAGTAGAATTTTGTCAGGAAGAAAGGAATGGTAACTAATTGGTAAGAGTAGGAGTACTTAGCAACCCAGGAAGGAAAATAAAGACATTACTAAGAACCACACTTTGGAGCCTGCAGGTAGAATAGTGGTTAAGGTGCTGGACTCCCATGTGGTTGACTGTGTTTCAAGTCCCAGACTCAGCAGCTTGAAACTCAGGCCAGGTGTCCATGACTGTATGCCTAAAATCCTGAGAGGAGTAAGGAGGAAAAAGGATTGTGGTGTAGCCATCCCCCTGGGGTATGATTTCTTGCTCTCTAACTCTCTAACTCTTTGTCTCTCTGGTGAGTGCATGCACCCTGTAGAAAAAAAATCTAAAAAGCAAAACAAGCGGGACCAGCAGGTGGCGTGGTGGTTAAGTCGCTGGACACTCCCACATGGCCGACCATGGTTCAAGTCTCAGACCTGGTGGCTTCCTTTCTCACTTTCTCGCTCTCTCTCTGTGTGTCTTTCTCTGGTCAAATTAAAATTAAAAAAAAAAAAGAAAGAAAGAAAATAAAAATAATTCTCTAAAAAAAACAAGTAACAATTAATATTTATTGCTAACTTACTATGAGATAGAAATGATCATAAACAACTTATGGTAGCTTTTCTGTATACAATATCTTAGTTTTTCTATCATGTTTATTTCTCAGCATCATTTTTTTTTTTGGAGAGTTTTTTTTTTTGTTTTTTTTTGTTTGTTTGTTTGTTTTGCTACAGGGCACATGCAATCCCCTGGGGGGATGGCCATGCTGCAATCCCTTCTCCCTCATTCTCCTCTAGGGATCTTGGGCATGCATGCACATGCGCCCGGAGTGAGTTTAAGTCACCAGGTCCAGGACTCGAACCTTGGTCGACTACATGGGAGTCCAGCGACATAGTCATTATGCTAACTGCTGATCCCTTCTCCTCATCTTTTACCCACTCCTCTCACCCCTGGGGGGAGGAAATTCTCTATTGATTGTTTACTTTTGAGTTGTTTTTCACAAGCCTGGGTTTTAGCTCCAGCCTACTTTTCCTCTCCTACCTATTTTTCTCTGTTGCACTGCTAGAATCTTTTATTCCAGTCAGGCCAGTTTCCTTATTCTCCAGACACAAACTTTGGGCTTTTCTGTGTACTGATTCTTCACTTACTAACGATACACCCTGAAACTTCAGACTGGAGTCTCATTTACCCCTTTAATTCCTGGAACTCTCCTATAACCAAAATTCATATGTTGAAACCTGAAAACTGATACAATGGTATTAAGGGGTGAGACCTAAGCAGGTCATGAGCTCATGAAGGGAATTAGTGCCCTTATGAAAGAAGCTCACGAGAGCTTGTTTACTCTCCCTGCCATCTAGGGCCAAAGCAAGAAGTTGCCATCTATTAGCAGAGAATGAGCCCTCACAAGAACGACTCTGCTGGTGCCTCAAACTTGGACTTCTTCACCTCCCAAACTGTGAGCAATAAAAGTCTGTTGTTTATAAATTACTCAGTCAAAGGCATCTTACTATAGCATCAGGAGTGAACTAAGACAAAGACCCAATGCCACAAGACCCCAAACTGGAAACCTCACCTGACCTTTCCAGCCCTCAGCGCTGGTTCCCTCCTTTATAGGTACCTTATGTCCGCCAATGGCCTTGGAGTGTCTTATAGAAAGATGATGCCGATTTAACACATCTTTGGTTCTAAGGATCTCAGCACAATATTTACAGGTTCCTTAAGTGTGCACTGGTTTTCTAACTGGGGTCAGTTTGTAGGACTTCTGAAGGCTGCCATGTTGCTGCAGAGGTTGCTATTTCCTTTTCTTTAGGATTTTGGCTTCTCACATTCCTTGGAAGCACTTATATATGTGTATAGTTTTGACTTTGAAAATAACCTTCAGATGCAGTACTGTGTTTATCAGCAATCATGTAATATGAGTTCCTTAGATAACAACAATCGCTTCTCTCCAGCTTCAGTGTTTAAGATCTATTTCACTGGTTGCTGGTACTTATCGTTCAAAGAAAAAGAATCAACTATTTCTCCCCAACACAGTGAAAGAACTTGAAAATATATACATTTGTGTGTTTCCTATTGTTCAGCTGAATATCCTAAGTGTGATATCTACTAATAGAAGTATTCAGTGTTCACAGAAAATAGGATGGTGTCTTAGAGGACCTCACACAGTAGATAACGGTGCTTATGTATTTAGTTGGTACCTGAGAGATTTGAGAAAAACATGTCCTAGTGAAACATAAGTTTCAAAATTAATTTCAACTGTGCAGAAAACCAAAAACAATTTGAACTTTTAATTTTAAGTGCTATAATTGGGTGCCTAGTGCCAAAAGAAAATTGGTTTAGTGATTTTCAGGGAAATCACAGAGTATATTACATATTTATAGTTTTTTAAGTCCCAAGAAGACTTTTTTATAATTACATTGATTTGTGTTTGTTTGTTAAAATGAAATAGAGTTGAATAAACCTGACATAGTGGAGGGACAAATATGCAAGATATACATGAACATTATGTTTATAACTATAGTGCTTTTTTAAGAAAGAATGATTTATTTAATTTTGCTTAATATTATAGTTTCTTAATTTGCTATAGAGCATGTGAGTTCACCAAAAAGAGACAAAAAGAGAGAGAGAAAGAAAGAGAGAATGTGAAAAACTAAGCCACTGCAAGCCTTCAGGTCCAGGACTCGAACTGCATTCAGCCACGTGGGAGTCTAGCACTCCAACCACCATGC